AGCAGTACAGATAGAGGGAGTTGTCCCTACAAGGCACTCCAAGTCCTTTTGGGAATGAGGTGGGGTGGAAGGTCATGACCTTGTGCCTCCTCCAGCTTTCAGACCTGGCTCCAGAGCACCATGGCCGAGGTGGAGCAGGCCGCAGCCCGGCTTCCCAGCCTCAGCAGCCGAGTCAGCTATGCTGTCCGCAAAGTCCACACCATTCAGGGTGGGTAGGGTGACTGCCCGTGTGCCCGACCCACCAGCTCTCATCCCACACCCATCCTGTTTTCTTCTCACCCATCCGTGCATCTCTTTCCCTTACTCCCCCATCTCCCCTTTCCTCCTCCACACACTCATCAGTCTATTGCTGTCACCTTTTCTCCCCCAGGCCTGATGGCTCGAAAACTGACCCTTGCTCAGCTGCGCCAGGAGAGGTGAAGTTTGGGGGACGGCGGTGGGGCTTTAAGGTGTTAGTTGCTGGGACCCAAAACAGTAGGACTGAGGAGGGATGGGGGCTTAGGGGTCGGGCAGCTGGGTGATCTCCCCCACTCTGTTTCTCCCCATCTCAGCTGCCCCCCGCCCCCACCCACCATGGATGTGAGCCTTGAGCTGGAGCAGCTGCGGGAGGAACGGAATCGCCTGGACGCAGAACTGCAGCTGAGTGCCCATATCCTCCAGCAGGAGGTGGGCCGTGCCCGCGAGCAAGGTACACCTGGCCTTGGGGTCACAGGTGCACTGGGGGCAAGAGGTGGGAAGAGCTGGGGTCTAGGCGTGGAGAGGCCAAGTGAGCGCCACCCCTTCCCAGGGGAGGCAGAGCGGCAGCAGCTTAGTGAGGTCGCCCAGCAGCTGGAGCGGGAGCTGCAGCGCACCCAGGAGTCCCTGGCCAGTGTGGGGCTGCAGCTGGAAGCCGCTCGCCAGGGCCAGCAAGAGAGCACAGAGGAGGCCGCGAGTCTGCGGCAGGAGCTGACCCAGCAGCAGGAGGTCTACGGGCAAGGTGTGCTGAGGGGAAATGGTGTGCCCTCGGAGGGTGGGCGGGACCATGCTGCACAGCTCCCCCACACACCCCCTCTGCACCGTCACCCCAGCTCTGCAAGAGAAAGTGGCCGAAGTGGAAACCCGGCTGCGGGAACAGCTCTCGGAAACAGAAAGGAGACTGAATGAGGCTCGGAGGGAGCATGCCAAGGCCGGTGAGGTTTGCCAGGTGGATGTGGGCTTCCAGGGAGAAGAAGTATGGAGACAAGGTTATTTAAAAAAGTTTTTGTAAAACTTTCTTTGAAGTATGAAGGTAATGAAGTTATCAGGGAGTGGCACAGCTGAGTTCTCAGGTAGCAAACACACCCATATGGCAGCACCCAAATCAAGTGACCAGCCCTGGAGCCCCTGCAGCCCCTCCCAGTCACTCCCCGCCACAAAGGCAACCACCATCCAACGTCTTCCAGCAATAATTATCGCCAGCTTTTTATTTGGAAAAATTTCAAACACCTAGACAAGTTAGAATTGTGTGCTGACGCTCACATGCCTTCTCTAACTTGATGCAGCTCTTACCTTTTGCCACATTTGCTCTCTACATATACACGTTGATATATACACTTTTGGGGAGTTATTTAAAGTAAATTACAAACATCATGACTGTTGACCTGCATCTCCTACAGAGTAAGATCCCCTATATAACCTCAATTCCATTGTTACCCTTTAAGAAACTGAAAATCTAACACCCAGTCCATATCCAGATTTCCCCTAAGTGACTCCTGGAAAGTTCTGGGGTGAGAGAGGTAGTTGGGGTTCCCAGATTCAGGACCCTAGAGCATCAGCCACCTCTCCACTGTTCAGAAGAGATTGAGTCAGAGTGTAAGTGGCTCCCCTGAGTCACAGCTGGGGATCCAGAATCCTGCCCATCGGTCCAGTCCTGTTTTCATGGTGCCTTGCTGCCTCTGGGCTGGCCCACACCTGTCCCCTCTGTGCCCTGGTTTCCCCATAGTGGTCTCCCTGCGCCAGATCCAGCGCAAAGCCACCCGGGAAAAGGAGCGGAACCAGGAGCTCAGGCGCCTGCAGGATGAGGCCCGGAAGGAGGAGGGCCTGCGGCTGAGCCAGCGCCTGCAGGAGCTGGAGAGGGACAGTGACCTCATGCTGGTGAGGAGGCAGGGAAGGGCCCTTGGGCTGGTTGGGGAGTAGAGGTGTGGCAAGTGGGGGAGGCTGTGCGTTTAACCCTCTCCTCCCCAGGCCACCTTGCAGCAGGAGGGTCTCCTCTCCCGTTACAAGCAGCAGCGACTGTTGGCAGTTCTTCCTTCCCTGCTGAATAAGGCGACATCCGTGGAGTCCAGCCCTAGGCCTTCAGGCTCATCAGCGCCCGGACCTCCAGCCGCAGCACTCTCCACCAGGGAGCCCATAAAAGGTAGTGGTCTAAGTGGGAAGGGACAGATGGGGGCTTTGGGAGCCTCTATCCCAGACACTCCTGAGTGCATGTGCGTTGTCCTCTGTAACCCCTGGAGGCCCCCAGCCTCCTTTGTCCACACCGCCTTGGACCGGAGAACCTCCTTCCTTGTAACCCTGCCGTCCTCTGGCAGCCCTGGTTCTCTGCACTTAACCACGACAGCCTTCTTTTGTATGGCTCCTATCCTTTGGGGTCTTCTTTCCCAGGATCCCTCTCTGTCCTGCTCGATGACCTGCAGGGCCTGAGCGAGGCCATTTCCAAAGAGGAAGCTATTTCTCAAGGAGACAGCCAGAACGATCCTGCACCCATCTGCCATTGAGCAGCTGGCAGCTCATGGGGGCCAGGGGGCTAGGAGGATCGTGGAGAAGTGGAATTTGGGGGGACCAGTCCAGCCCTCTTCCCCATCCAGATGCCCTTGGGGACACCAGCCACCAAAATGTTTGTGAATTCTGAGGCTCAATAAAGATGACTACAGTAGGAGCTGTTTGGACATGCGCTCTGGGAACACAAGGGACTTCTCCCTACAGCCACCTCTCCTCTCGGATATGTGGAGGGTTGTCCCACACATAGCTCTTCCTCTAGATGGCACCTTTTCCAAAACCCTCTTCCTAGGCTGCTTGGGAAGTTTTTTGAGAAGCTCCGGGTTTTATTTTATTTTTTTAAAGATTTTATTGGGGGAATTGAGGGAAGGGAACAGACAAGTTGCTCTCCTTTTGTTCTTCAGTCTAATTGTGGAGCACGTCACTTCACTGGCCCATGTTGGCGATGTGATCATTGCGTTCTTTCTGGCTGAGGCAGATCGGTCGCCGGCCATTGGATGGCAGCTCACAGCAGCTCATGCTGGCTGCCAGCCACTCACAGCTTACGGCAGCCCACTGCAGCCTATGCCGTTTCCGGTGACTCAGGGCAGCCAATGCTCCGGGTTGAGCTATTGTTCACCATCTTAGCTGTAGAGGGTTCAGCGTCACTGGCCCATGTGGGATCCGAACCAGCGGCCCTACTGCTCAGAGCTCGCGCTCCCAAGCCAACTCTTAACCAACAAGCTACTCGGCTGGCCCACTCCGGGTTTTCTTTATTCTCTACTTTTGTATTGAAACTGTTTACGTCTGGAAGATGACCAGTGCCATGAGTGAGGAAGATGAAACATTAACTCCCTCAACAGGAATCTCAGAGCCAGGCAGTGCTCTGGCTCAGGGTCCACTGCGGGGGCTTGATGGGCAGGTCCTTGCTCCTGGGCACTTACATTCTAAGGGGAGGACACAGTGGACAGACCTAAATGAACAAACAAGCATTTCAAACAAGTGCTATGAAGAGAAACTAAACGGCAGTGATGTGATAGAAACTGACTGTGGGCCAGGGCGGCATCAGGTGAGGGGACAGTAAAGGCCTCCCTGTTGTGCTGAGACCTGAGTGGGGTGAGGAGCTGGTGCACCCACTGGGAGAGTGTGCAGCGGGCAGGCATGCGCAGAGCCCAGAAGGGAGAGTGCGGGAGGGTGCTGCAGGGAACCGCCAAGACAGGACTTAACGCTGAGTCGGTAGAAAGCCCTCGGAGTGCCTCTTTCAACAGAAGTAACCACACAATTTGATTTGTTTTTAAGAGACATGTTGGCTGGCTGTGGGTGTGGGGCAGGATGAAGAGGCCAATTAGGAGGGTATGGGGAGGCTGGGGGAGAGGGAGCTCTCACATGGGGCAAGGACTGGTGGCTTTGTGGTAAGCCACAGAGGGACAGTGGTGTCCCTTACGGCTGGGGAGAGACTAAGTGGGGAACAACTTGGAGAGAAAGTGGGTTCTGTTTTGAATATTACTTCTGAGGCTGATTTAGACCTGCAGGCAAAGGAGTCCTTCCTGAAGGAAAGTTCTAGCAGGATCCCTGAGAGACTTAGACAAGACTTCAACGGAGACCCACAGGATGAGGGGAGGGAGAAGGTGGGCACCGAGCTGGAGCCAAGGACCACGGGAAGGGGCTTGAGGGGCGAGAGGAGATTCCAGAGGGAGGACGAGTCTGGGATGACCGAGAGCTGAGGCAGCCTCTTCCTGTCCTCTTGGCCGTGACTGATGGAACCAGGTCTGAGGTGGGGCGAAAGAATCAGGATGTCCTCGTTTCCTTCCTCACCGTCAGTCAGCTTGGGTGGTTGTCACTGCTCGGAGGCCCCCTGTGTGCCTGAAGAAGGCACACTGGACAGCAGTCCGCTTGGTTCCTGAGGCGAGTGGAAGTTCGGAGCCCCGCCCTGTATTACACTGCTTCCGCACGCCTGGTTACACCATTCCTTGGCTTCTAGTGACTTTGAGGAATGAAAGCTGGAAGTCCCTGTGGTTATAGAGATGACTGGTGGACACTGATTGCTGCAGGGTGTGTGTAAGGAGGACATGAAAACAAGGCTGGGGTGACCAAGGTCTAGGTCATCGGTAAAGCCATGTTGACTGGGTCCTGAGCTGGGGGACTAAAATGAGGGACGCCAGCCTCAGAGGTTACACACATCAGCCATGGCCTTCCAAACGGGTTTGACCAGTTAGGTTCTGATTCCTTTGGTCACTGGGCTGGCCCCACCCGAGAGATTCACTTCCTCTTTTCGCTCCCATATAAAGCCTCTTGGGGTTCCCAGGCATCCAGACAGAGCCCACCCCTGGCTTTGGGGACCAGGAGACAGCCATGATGCTCAACTGGAAGCTACTGGGGATCCTGGTCTTTTGCCTGTACACCGGAGGTGAGCTGGGAATAGAGGCCAGGAGTGCAATTTTGGGTGACGGGGAATGGTCAAGGTGAGAGGAGGGTGACCTCTAAGAAGGAAGGGAGTGAACAGGATACAAGGGATGGAGGAGGTTGTGGGGATTTGTGTGAGCGGAAGAGGTAAGGGGATGCAGGGGATGTGGGAGTTGCATGTAGCTCAGGATAAGTGATTGCTGGTTGGGGTATAGCTCCATGCGGTGATTTAGACCAAAATTCAGGTGTGTGGAGCTGAGGGCTGTTAAGGAGGGTGGAGGTCCTTGTAGAGGTGGGGGCTGGGTGCTACATGGGGCCAAGGTGTAGACCATTTGGGGGCTGCAGACCAGCAGAGGCACCATGCCAATGGGCTGTCCCAACCAGGGTTGGATGGAGCTTATTTGAGGGTCCTTTCAGTTTAAAGTTCAAGTTAATGGTTCAGGACAGAGTTTTCATGTCATTTTAAGATCACCTTGGTATTTTGCAAATGTGTGGAGAGCTCTTTGAGAGTTACTTCTGAGGTCTGTTTGTGGGATTAGCTCAGGCTGTGGTCCATCGCAGATGGGCTGTGCTCCCAGGGTCTGGGAGCTGGGCTGGGGCTGGATCTGGCCCTCACCACCTCTTACCTTTCTCCTTCCCACTCTATAGGCATCTCAGGCAGTGGAGACCACCCCTCTCCCCCACCCACAGAGGCTGGAGAGGAGGGCTCCCCAACATTACCTCAGGGCCCCCCAATTCCTGGTGAGCCCTGGCCAGGGGCACCCCCTCTCTTTGAGGACCCTCCCCCTCCAGGCCCCAGTCGTCCCTGGAGAGACCTGCCTGAATCTGGAGTCTGGCCTCCTGAGCCTCCTAGAACCGATCCCCCTAAACCTCCTCTGCCTGACGACCCCTGGCCAGCAGGACCCCAGCCTCCAGAAAACCCCTGGCCACCTGCCCCTGAGGTGGACCACAGGCCTCAGGAGGAGCCAGACCTTGATCCACCCCGGGAAGATTACAGATAACCACATCCCCAGAGGTGCCCTGGGCCTCCGGGCAGAGTGCACGCAAGCCCATCTCTACCTTCTGATTCCCCTTGAATTCTTCCCAATTTAGCCTAACTCCTTGATCCCCTTCCTCATTCCCTCAATTGTGTTCTGAACCCTGAATGTGTCACTCTCAATATTTTCCATCCCCTCCTGAGATCCATACTTAGCCCCCACAGTTCCCCTCCGTTTTTCTCTGCCGCCTAAGCGTCTAAGCGTACACCCCTGCCTGACGTGCAGGCCTCTCCCCTGTACTTGCGTCCCATCTCTTCCCCACCGGCTGGCGCTCTGTGTTTTCTGCTGCCCCCTGGTGGCGAACGGCTGGGAACCATCAGGAGACAATGATAGTGCTTCCACAAAATGAAAAAATAAAAACTGTTTTCTTAATTTAGAATCTAGGCTCCTCCTTTGCCAGTGATTCTGTCTTTGAATATTCAGATGCCCTCCTCACAGCCACATGCCTCCAGAGATCTGGAATAATTTGAGTTCCTGGCTTGCCATATGCATCAGGATGTGGAGCTCTCAGCCCAAGGGGGGTTGGAATTGGAACTATTAGAGTTACAAGGACATTCAAACCCACATTTCTTACATTCTGGGACCCCTATTTTGAAGAATTCTCATTTTTTATTTTTAATTTTTTTTAGCTGAGCCATCCTGCCACCTGTTGGCAGCTCAGCGGCTGCTCAGCTCGGGCCAGGACTTGAACCGCTGTTGCTCAGAGCGCGCACTCTCTGGAGCGAGCTCTTAACCAACTGAACCACTCGGCCGGCCCTCTCATTATTTTTTAATAACTTATAGTTTGCAGACCCCTGGTGAAACACGAAAACGTTCCCAGGGGCATGTGCGCAGGAGCAAGCTTTAAGGGGATCAGTTTTCATAAATATATATGCCCCTTCCAAAAATGAGTCTTCCCGAGAACCATGTTTTCCTTTGCACCTGCTTCCAGTAACAAGCCACCCATCTCCCTTGAAACAGGAGCTGGAATAGTCAGGGGAGGCTTCCAGGAGGAGGACGCAGCCAGCTGCAGGCTGCGTGGCTGGAGGGACCAGCTAGGAAGGGGTGGGCCCGGGCCTCAACGATGGTGTGAACGCAGAGGCTATGGGAGGCGGGGGGGCAACTCCTTCCTGACCTGCCGCACACACGTGTGCTCCGGCCAGGCCAACGCTGGCCTCGGCTCTCCTGTGTCCTGTTCCCAGATGCCCGCAAGTCCTTCCTCTCCCCAGTCAGTGATCTCTCTCCATGTACCGCTCCCCACCCCTGCCCTGCGCCCCAGCGTCCTGGATGCTGCTGTGCCTGTAACTAGGATTCAGTCCTGACTGTCCTCCCCTCCTAGGCCCGATGCTCTTGGAGGCAGAGACTGTTCTGCACAGTTCTTCTCAGACCCCTTCACCATTTTGGTGCCTACTGACTCCCAGTGTCCTGTCACTCCCCGCAGCTCACCTTTGTTGGCTGCCAGGACTTTGACAGGTGCAGAAAGTGCTGGAGGCACCTGGAAATGTGTCTCCCTTACACTCCTCCCCACGCCCTCCACCCCTCCCCACTCCAGGCCTAAATGGACTCACAAATATGGGGCTATCAATATCCCAGTCCTCTGAATCCAGGTGAGACTTTGCTTGGCTACGTTTCCTTCCTGGTCCATGTTCCAACTCCCTTTTCCTCCTTCCCACCCTCAGCACTTTTCAATAATCCCTTTTACTTGAACCTTTGTCTCAGAATCTGCTTCTAATGAATCCAATCTAAGACACAAACAAAGTACAGTTCATGACAAACCATTGCAGCTACTTTTTACTGCGCATGTGCTGTATGGCCACTGTGGTCAAAGCCCTACAGATTAAGTTCTCACTTAATTTGCACAATAACCCTATTGTTATCACTATTTTGGAGAAAAGAGAAACAGAGGCTGAGAGTAGTCCTGCAAGGTCACACAGGGGACAAATGGCAAAACTGGGATTTGAATTAAAGTCCGTCATATGTCAATGTCTCTGATTTTAACCACTACATTTTCCCATCTCTTTCTTCATCTGTGTAACCCTGACAAGAAATACAGTGTCTGGGCCTTCATGGACTCCTAATACATGTTAGTCAGAGTTCTCCAGAGAAACAGGACCAATAGAATAAAATAATGGAGATTCATTATAGGAATTGGCTCTTGACATCGTGGGTCCTGAGGCAGTCACATGACCTGCCTTCTGCAAGCTGTTGACCCAGGAAAACCAGGGGAGTAATTCAGTCTGAGCCTGAAGGCCTGAGAACTGGGGAGCAGACAGTGTAGGTCCCAGTCCAAATGGAAAGGCCAGGAGTGCGGAAGCCCAAGGGTAGAAGATGGATGTCCCAGCTTCGAAGGCAAATTCGTCCTTCCTCCACCGTATTGTTCTATTCCAGGGGTTGGCAAACTGCGGCCCGCGAGCCACATGCAGCTGTTTGGGTACTTTCCGTCTCGAAAGTCTGCCAACCCCTGGAAGAGTCAGTCATGTCCCTTGAAGTTTTGCGAGACCTATAAAACAAATGAAATCACCATTATGTGAATAATATCCTTTAAAATTTGTATAAATGAAACTATGATAGTTTTATTTTCATTTTCTATTTTATATACTTCAGAGCTACATGTACGTACCCAAAGAGCCGCATGTGGCTCGCGAGCCGGTTTGCCAACCCCTGGTGGTTCTTCTGTCTCATAAGTTTGCCGACCTCTGTTCTATTCAGTCCTCACAGATTGGATGCTGCCCACCCACACAGGGAGGGCGGATCTTCTCTACACAGTCTACCTAATCTCTTTCAGAAACACCCTCACAGACACACCCATAAACACTGCTTTACCAGCTCTCTGGGTATCCCTTAGCCCAGTCAAATTGACACAGAAAATTAACTATCAAAAGTGTGATGAGTGGGCTGGCCAAGTGGCACGATGGTTAAGAACTGGCTTGAGACACCAGAGGGCCCCGGTTCGGATCCCACATATGAGGGCCAGTGACACTGCCCTCCACAGCTAAGATGCTGAACAACAGCTCAACCTGGAGCTGGGCTGCTGTGAGTCGCCGGCGACGGCGTAGGCTGCAGCCCCTGTGGCAGTGGGTTGCCATGGGCTACCATGTGTGGCCAGCAGCCAGCGTGAGCGGCCGTCCAGAAACCGGCAACTGATCTGCCTCGCCTGGGAAGAGCGCAATGATGGTGCCAACTTCGGCCAGTGAAGCAACATCCTCCACAACTAGACTGAAGAACAAAACAACAGCAACTTATCTGTTCCCCTTCCCCCAATTCCCCAGCATTGTTCCCATCCCCCCAATTCCCCAATAAAAATCTAAAAAAAAAAAAAAAAGAAAGTGTGATGAATAGCTGAATTCATTAATGAATGGTGAGTTTGGGCAACAGAGAGTAGATTGAAATGATTAGAGTTGAAAGATTTATAAACTGGAGAAGACAGAGATATTGTTAGATGGGTAGGTTGGGGAGCAATTAGGGAAGGTCTGGGTGCCAGGCTCAGGAGCAAATAACTGAAAGTCTTCCTCCTCTGATAGAACTGTGTCCAGCAGTGGGGAAGAACACACACGCATCTGTGTATACTGTGGCAGGGAGGTGTGGGATGGAAGGGAGCCACATAAGAAACTTGAAATTTTATGAGTTTATTTGATCCAAACATGACATATGCCAGGAAACAAGATCTCAAATACTCCTGAGAATAACAGTTTGCAGTTTCTTTTATATGTTTGGAATTAATTAGGGAAAGTAAGGAAGATTACATGAAGGAGGGAAAAAAAGCAAGGCAGGATTGGATTACAGGATAGTTAAGATTATGCTCTCCTGAGGGTGGTTACTCCTTTGAGGGGTATTATTTCTGGCATTTCAAAGCTGTGTGTACCTAGCTGCACAGGGCTGGCTTTAAAACCTTTCACTAAAGAAGTTTTAGGCCTGGGGCATGACTACCCACCATGACCTGCCCAGTTAGGAATTTATGATTTATTACAGCACCCATTTTTTGTCCACAAAGGGAAGAAGGAAGTCTGTACCCCCTCAAATTGACCACAGCAAGCTCCCAAGCCAGTGACATGAAGTTTGTTGAAAGGGGGGGAAAAAGAGAAAGTGAGAGAAAGGAACTGAGACCCTGATGTGGCCCAGGAAAATATTTATGGCTCTTACTGTTCTACTTAATTTCCACAATATTATGTTGGTTTTCATGTCTTTCTCCCCTTGTAAAGTATGAGCTTCTTGAAGGCAGGACTGTGCCTTGTCTGTCTTTGTATGCCTTACTTCTCTCCTAGTTCCTGGCTCAGAAGCTGTTCAAGAAACCTAATTACTAGCTCCATGTCACAGATGAGGGAACTACTGCTGAGAGAGGTGATCACCTGTCCAAGATATAACACAAGTGCCAAAGTCAAGAGTGGGTGCATGACTGCTTGGCTCTAAGCCAATTCTTACCAGTTTGACACAACAGGTGGTTGAGTGGGAGAGAGAAGGGGGAGGCGTGAGGTCTTTGGAGGTTTTAATATCTTTTAGTAGGCAGAAGATTGCAACCCAAACGAGCTGTGTTTATTAGCTGGCGAGGAAACTGAGTGGGACTGGACTGTATGGAGTGTTAGCACAGGGGAGCCCATTGTGCCACATGTCCACGCAGATTAGATGATTCTTTCCCATCTGCCTTGGCTGACCTCACTGAGGGGTGCCTGTGGGGACACTGTTGCATCTTATGTCAACATGGAGTCATAGAATTAAATAATAAAATAGGATCACAGATTTAGAGAACAATAGCTCAGCACTGTGGACATGTCCGATAGTCAAATGCTTGGCCAATGAAAGAAAAGAACCTAGACTGAGTACCATGGTATAATCTAATTGTGGAAGCTGAGTTACCTTGAGAAAGCATCGGGCACAGCCCTCAGCCTTTGGGCGGGTGAATAATGTCTTTGGACCAGACGGAAGAGACGGCTGTCTGCTCTTTGTTCATCCATTTGCCCATGCGACAATCATTTGTTAAGCATTTACTGTGTGGGGTGCTGGGCGATGATGACAGTCCCTGGAAGGAGTTTCAGTCCTCCCTGCCCTCAAGGAGCTCTGTGTCTCGGGAGGAAACAAACATGCAAATCGTGGCAATAACATGTGATAAAAGTTGAATTAGAGAGGGGCACACCCGGAGGTAGGAGCCAAGGAGAGAAGTCTAGCTCCTCTGCTAATTGCACATTTCAAATTCATTTGACCAAAGACTTGCTTTGGTATAAACCCAATCTCTCTTACTGTACATTTTCTCCCTTTATTCTTTAATTAAGTGCCCACCAGGTGCCTGGCACTGGCTCAAAAAGCTTGTTGAATTAAACCAAATCCGCCTCCTAGAGTTTCTTCCTCCTAATATCCTCAAAGT